ATACTGCCTCTTCTCTAACCATATGTACTCCATACTGGATGAAGCTCTCCTCTCCTCTTCCCCCATTTCATTTCCCCGTCGCATCCTGTGCTCTGCAACCTGCTTGAAATCCCACTTGAAATTCTGCTCTGAAATCTGCTTGTATTGGCCCTGCAGTCTTTTGAAACTTGAATGCAAATGAAACCATCTGTGTGGAGATGACAAATTCCACTCTCCTCCAGCAAAAGCTCCCACATGACAAAACACTTGGTATCCTGCCCTGTAAGATAGTGGTTGCCCAAGTAATTGAATTTTCCTGATGGCCCAGGCTAAAACACACGGCCAAAAGTCTCTGTCAACCTTTTAGCAAGTGGACAAGCACAATGAGATGCTTGGAAGGAGAGCAAGACATCCTAATCCTCCCTGGACAGAGACTCAAGCTAGACAAGACCAAGCTGGCCAGCACTGATGACCATCCACCACCCCTCTGAGCTTCAGGCTGGGACCAGGGCTTGAGGAAGGTGGGAAGTTCATGCTTAGGGGAGGGATGGAGATGCTAAAACAAGGTCTGTGAGCTCTCCTGCTCCACAGCTGATTGATTTTTGACCCAAAAAAAGATTATAATAAGGCAACAATAAACCAGACCAGAAGCAGTCCTCAAGATATGCTTGAAAGACAATTAAAATGTGGCAAAAATTGTTTAATACACAATTTCAGCACTACAAAGGAAACTCCAGTTATCTCAATTGGAAAGTTTGTCACAAAGCAGAGAAAAGTCTACCATAAAGCCTACAGAGCACAGCCCAATAGTATTAGACTTCAAATGGAGTATTTCAGATGCCTTTTTACACCAGCTTATTGTCTGTTTCCTTAGAAACAGGAATCAGCAGCCACAGGCGAAGGAGTTGGAACTTGTGTTAATTTTAGCTGCTGTTTGTTCCAACTTTGCTTCCATTTTCAAAGAAGCACAAAAGTATTGTAGAATTGGACACTGCCATTTTGTAGGACATGTGCAATGTTTCAGTCTTTAAGCTCTGGATTTATATCCAGCCTCTCTATTCATGAGGTGGTCCATGATATGTTCCATAATAGGCCCATTGCTCCAAACTGAGCTCAAGCTTTTACAAGCCTCACACGTGTAACTAATGGTCTTTACTCAAGATATTTTTAAAGGATGGTAATGGGTTGTCTCTCAAAGATTTGTATGTGACGCCTCGAAGTCCAACACCATGAAATTACATCTCATCAACAGCTTCACCACTGTTCCCATGATGGAGAACTAGCATTAACCAAATATTTTGTTTTGCCATAACCAGCTTTCATTCATACTATTTATTTATACTAATTACAGACCACCCAGCTCAGCACAGTCTAGTGCCAGAGGTGCTTTAAACTTCATGTCCTTACTTTTGTCTTTATTTCTTGCTGTTCATCCCATGCTTGTTTTTAAGTCTATTGTTCTTTCTAAGTAGGCATAGCTTGAACCTTCAATACAAAGTGTCAGCTCTCTGCTCCGTTAAGCTCCACATTGTCCTCATCACCTGCATATTTAGGGCTCTGTTAAATGTGACCCAGTTTTGATTTTTGCAGGCTTACCCTTTCTTTTCTTTAACATTACTGCTACTATCCAGCCTAGCTCATGCTTCCTGTTGCTTCTGCTGTGTAAACTGAAAGCAAAATAGGATCTCAGGTCAAAGGAGCACAGCTGGAGAGACCCCTTCCAGAGACACTGAATCAGTGGTACGTAGCTATGTTTTGACTCAGCTGATAAAGAGCACTTCATTCCTGAAAGCAGTCTCTGCTTTAGCTACCAATCATCTCATCTTTGGTATCTGTTCCATAGGGTGAGTCTGTTTTACAGGGTTATTACCAGAGGACAAGGACAATCCCACAATTAGGGCAAGGCAAGAAATCTCAGATAACACACGTTGAGTGCATTATATAAAAGTAGCCAGGTGGAAGTATAAAGGAGCTGTGGACTCTATTCAACCCCAAATACACACCATTGCACTGCATTGCTCGTCCTGGTGGTGCCTCAGAACTTCCCTGTGTAGGCAGAAGTTCAGAGACCTCTGAAGGCAGATCCTGGGCTGAACCCATCTGGGCTGCCAATAGGTCTGTCCTCAATCTGAGGAGAGTTTGTCCACGTGATTTAATTGAAACATTTCATGCTCAAAGCATTTTGCTAAAGCTTTGTTTCCTCTGATAGCTTTCTAGCTCAGTAGTCAGTATGTAGATTAAAATTTAATTTAACTGGCTTAATATGTTATGGCCAACTGATTATTTTTTTTTGGACCAAAATTTTATACCTATCAGACTGATGATTCAGGCTGGGAAACCTTAGTTGATTTATAGTCCAACCTGCTCTTCAAAGTAGGATCAAAGCTGAATTCAGACCAGGTTTGTCACAACTCTGTCAACATGGGTCATGGAAAAAATCTGAAGATGAAGGGTAAGTTAACATATAATTTCTTAAATGGTTGTTTTTTGCTTAAGTGATTACTTTAAAATGGGGTGAAAGTAGTCTTTCTGAACTGGAGGTATGGCCATTTGTATGCAAGTTTTCCACAAGCAGCAAAAGATGTTTGTATGCTGAAGAACTGCTGTTGGTTTTGTGCAGAGTTTTGTGCATGCATCCTGCAAAACATTCATGTCATGGTTTCCTGCACGGTAGACAGAACACCCTGAGAGCAATATAGCGAAGGGCACAAGACAATGCTGAGTGTTACAATGGGAGAATCAGAATATCCTCAAGTTGGAAGGGGCCCACAAGAATCAGACTAACTCCTGGGCCCCCAAAGGACCATCCAAAAAAAATCAGACTGTCTGAGAGCATTGTCTAAACACTTCTTGAACTCCAGCAGGCACTTCCCTGGGGAGCCTGTTCCAGTGCCCAAAGAGATTAAGAGGTAGACTTAAATTGCAGGAATTAAATACAAAGAATTGGAAAGTACTCTGGGTTAGGATTTAAGAAAGCAAAGACCTTCTGAAAGTAAATGCATTATATTTACCAGGTGTAATTTCTCGTGTAAATTATCAATTACTGAAAATACATTCACATTCATATTTTTATTTATGCTTCATCTTTTCTACATCACCTTGTATTGTATTTCCAGTTGCTCTCAAAATGCTTTGGCATCTGTATTTAGGTTTTGCTGTGTAGAATTTTGACTAGAGAGGAAAAAACAAGACGTAAATACTTCTGAGATGCCACTTACTCCCACTTCCACAAAAAAGCTCTACCTATGGTACTCTTACACATTTTTCACACAGATCAAATAGGATGAATGTGCAGACTGCAGACCAGTAAGTGATTGAACATCATTATCCAGTCATCAGTTGTTGGAAATATCAGAATATCAAGATAAAATTATTTATGGATACATTTTACAGATTTTCATGAAATAGAGGCCATTTCATGAGATCAGTAAAGTGCCAGAAAGGGTAGTTCACTGCTGGTAAAATTGCATGCTTACATAAAAGAAACAGACAGGGAGAGATTTCTTTCCCCTATGAGCATAGGGGAGAGAGAAGTATGTGTACAGTGCAATATTCTTCAGTACTTACGGAAAAGTGACAAAATTGCTCAGACTCTGACTGGGGCAAATAAGAACAGCCTGAGCAGTAGAAAATCAGGTACAAAAGATAGATATGAGCTTGGTAGTAATGGCAAGAATAGGGGTTCATTAATGTAAAAACCACAAAACCTGCTTGCAGGCAAATGACATGATTTTGGACAATGCTTTCATGATAGCCACCAACACAAAATTTTATGCAAAAACTCTAGAAATATTAATTTCTAATACTAGCTAGTTAAAAGTAAAGCAGGATAGAAGTACTTTTTTTTTTTTTACACAGTATTAGTGTGCAGTATTTTTTATAGGGATCTGTAGGTGCTACAAAAGAACTCAGTGAAATCAAGCTTCAGATATACAAGATCATTACATGGTCTTTTCTGTGTGCCTTGGAGACCCAACCACTTCATAGAAAGAGGAAAATTGAGTTGACTTTCCATTAAACAGGAATGGATTGTTGAGCCTATTGAGTCATTTCAAATTTACAGAAATGTAAGCAAGAAAAACACGAACCTAAGAAGTTTACCTGACAGAAGTGAACTGCATAATAAGTACAATGCTCTTAGCTAAAAGGTTACAGTGACCTATATGATGGTTGGGAGGGAAGGAAAGGTATTTCTGCCCACCTGGAGCAGTCTTCCACAACATTTTCAAGGAAAGTGCAGGGGGCAGGTGATGATGCAAACAGTCCAAAGCTAATAAATGGCTATATAAATACTATGAACAGCCAACACCCTTGTGTTTGAATAACATTGTGAAGAAAAAATATGTACAACAGCTAGAATAAGTTTTATAAAAAAAAAAAAAAAAACACTATAAAGTGCTGGGAGAGGGGGTCTCCAAAGCTTTCCCACCACAGTCCTTCCAGAACCCCAGTTTCCTTGTCTGAAGCCACATTAGTGTAAACAAGAACTGTTTTGATTTTAGAATTAAAAATGAGTGTTCTAAATCATGAATTCATCCCTTATTATGCAGCACAACTTTGGAGTATCTGGTCAAATGCCAATTAACACTGAAATAAGGAGCCAGTAACTTGGTTGTTGACTAAATTTAGTTTGGGCAGATAGTCAAGAAGAAAGTGTTAGAATTCAGGGAGAAAAGAAGGTCCAACAACACACTGTAGAAAAGGGGAAAATCTAACAAGAGAAAGAAATACATCCAACCAGCAGAGACCTCAGTGGCCAGGCTGTGTGCCACGGTGGCCAGAGGCAAGCACGAGCAGCCCTTGGCAGAGCACTCTCCAGCTGTTCAGAAAGGAAGAGGCAACATCCCCAAACCCATAAGTGCAATTAGTTGATGTGATCTGGCCAGGCTGCAGTGAAATAACTGTGGGCAGATGGCCTTAACAGCTAGGGTATCAACCACACATGGAGTAAGGAGGCACAGCTACCACAACAAGCAATCAGGGCAGAAAGCACTACCCAGTGCCTCTTCCCATACACTCACCTACTCTCTGTTAGTGCTGCCCCAGCTGCCTTCACCAGCACATGATACCTTTCATGGTCCATTTCCATTCTGCATGCTTCTGGAAGAAGCCACCCTTGCTTGGAGCACCGACTCCAGAAGTGCCACCTCCAGCTTATGGCCTGAGCAGGAGCTAAGGCCCCCACCAACAGCAGCATCACTGCACAGCTCATGCTCCTGGTGAAGAGGAAAAAAGAGGGAGCCTGTTCCCCTACCTTCTTTTAAATGACGGCCCTTAATTCTGCAGTTGCTCCAGCTGGCCCTTCCTCGGCGGCTTGGTGCTGCCCAGCTGCAGCCAACACGCTGCTGCAGGTGCTGGCTCTCAAATCACTTCGCTGCAGAAGTGTGTGAAGGAAATTGTGAAGGCAGAACTCAGCTACCAAAGCAGGGATGTTCTCATTAAACAAAAGCATGGGGAAAAAAAAAATAGGAAAAGATTTTGCCTCTTAAATTAAATGTGTAAATGAAAAGCTGAACTGCCATGTCCTATATATCTCTGCCACTCATAGCACAAAAAAAAAAAAAAAAAAAAAAAAAAAAAAAAAAAAAAAAAAAAGAAGTCAAGAACTGCTTCAACACATTTTAGCCCTATTGTCTAATGTATTCCTCTTGCAGTGACCTTGGTCTGAGGAGAGTTTTGTAGAAAACTTGCACTGGGATGAAATCTCAGTGTCCTACCTGCAGTACAGGAGGCATTCGTGAGATGATTCCAACAGTGAGAATGAGATTCTCAAGTCAAAATCTGTTAAAACAAATCTTTGCAAATTTTATTTACTGCTTTTATTTGCTCTTTACAGTGTTGACACATAATATGCACTAATGACAAAATGTTTTAATAGAAGATAATAACAAACTGAGATAGCTTAGAAATAATTTTCATTCAAAATTTCCACTATCCTCCAAACTGGGCGTACTAACTGCAAAATCTCTGTAGCCATAGGAACCTTGAACTGCTAACGCTGTTTATACAGAAAAATCTACTGATAGTTTATTTGCAATTTTAGAAAGTTAACAGGATAGGATAAAATCATATTATATATTCAAAGCTTTACAATGTAAACATGATTTTTTTCCATAAATCTTCAGAGTTTTCTAAAAGGCATCAAAATATTGTGTTCATAAAGTTTCATAAGGTTTATTTTTTTCAATAAAGTTAAAAGCAGTTTGAAACATTATTTGGAATTGCTACATCTACATCTTCACTGATGGCAAAGTTGCTCTTTGGTGATGGCTATTCAAGAATGAGGATAAACAAGGCAAGAATTAGAGTTTGATGCAAATTTTATTGCACCTTCTGGCTTAATGAGTGATCTCCCCAAATTCCTCAACCATATGAAGTCTGCTGCAAATGCTGATGATTTTTTTAAGTGAAAGGAAAATATCATCTTATTTTGCTTTCTTCGGGCTTAGTTATAAAAACATTATGTTTCTATTAAGGAAGCAAGCAGTTGGTGTTTATCATCTCTCCCTTACCACAAATGTGATTTGAGCAACAAAGCCGTTATCCAGCTGTTCGCTGGTTTCTCGTGTTCACACTCGGTGCCTTAGTGTTGGATGTGCCACCCGAGGAGCAGGAGCTGTGACCGGGCAGCCGGTGTTTTTTGTTTTGTTTTGTTTTGTTTTGTTTTTAATCTTGTTGTGAATGGTGCAGGCTTTGTACAGAAGCCTCTGGCACTCTCTGGCACTGCCCACACCCAGGCACCCGTCCTGAAGGCTCCAGCGCTGCAGCAAGCGGGGTTTCAGGAGAAGGTTGGACAGAAAGAGAGCATCACGTCATACCTGAACATTTTTAGAAGAACATGCAGATGCTCATTTTTATTCCTCCTGCAGTCTTCAGCAGCAATATAGGCCTGAGTAAACCCACCTCACTCTTCAGATGCCTGAAGTATGCGTTGCATGTAGAGCTGAATCAGGTTTCTTTGTCCCATGACCGACGTGGTGTCACGTCATTACGCCCACCGTTTGCATTCAGAGCTCATCACAGCCTCCGGGCAGCTCCCAAAGTCCAGAGCCTGTGCAGCATGCACCTTGTTCACACCGTGCAGGTAGCAGCCGGCCTGACGCCACCTGTGGTGTAAGAGCAGCACCGTGCCAGCCTTCCTCCAAGCACCGAGCACTTCAGAGCACTGGGAGAGGCAGGCACTGGGAGCGGGACCCACCACAAACTGGTGGCACTGGGTAAGCTGGCTCCCCAGGAGCGGCAGCAGCACCAGAGCTGCCCACAGCACGCACAGCGGGAGCAACCTCGGGTGGTTGGCGACACAGAAAGCTTCCCAGTTTCTGTGCTACAGCTTGTCAAAACCCAGCTTTTAGTATCTGGTCTGTGTTAAGCATCATTAGGATTACAAATAATAACCTGTTCCACAGTTTAGCACACCAGCTTTGATACACATCTATGAAGTTGACTCAATTTGTACCACGGGACTTTTAAGGGATGCTACAGTGAGGAAAGAAAAAAACAAACCCTCTCTGCTGGTGTTAATTTAAGGCATACCTTTTATTTTGTCTGACAACAGCTCTCTTCTATCAGTTTGAATTTACTTTTTAATTATGTATATTGCTTTTTTTCATGTGAAGCTCCAGACTAGAAATATGTATCTCATTATATTTTACGTTATTCAATTGACCTAAACACAAAAGCATTTTTCTTGAATACTGAGTGCTCATGTACCTTTTTAATTAAAGCTTAAAAAGCTTTTAATTAAAACAATAAATCACAGACAGCAGGGTCTATCCAAACTGTCTTGTGGTCCAGGCATATTTTTCCTTTTGTGATCGGATTGACCCACAGGGTAACAAAACAGGTGAAAATGTCTCTCACAATTAATTGATACAGTAGAAATTACCGGACTGTTCCACACGACAAGCCAAGGAGTGTGTCTGAACCAGCACCACTGTGCCCTGCTTGGGGGCACTCGGGGCTGATGGCCCCCCTCAGCCCGTGCCCTTGGCAGCAATTAAGCCTCCGCTGGCTGCTCCGTCTCCCACGCCTTTTCTGCCACTCCAGCCCCAACCTCCCTTGCTCCAGCGCAGGGGCTGGACTCGACTTGCTGGTGTGATGCTGCCACCCCTGCCCCACAGAGCCCCCAGCCCTGTCCCATCCATGCCCATGCGGGACCCCAGTGGGACGCACGCACCAGGCACACTCAGCAGCAAGGAGGCAGCGTGTGTGCCCCTTCTGGGGATCTGAGCCGGTCTGGGCAACTGTGAATCTTGTTTTATCTCAAAACTCACAGGAATACATCTAATCTACTAGAATAAGATATACTAAATGCACTAACTTTGGGTTTGACTTTTTTTTTTTTTTGCTCCGAGATTACAAGGACTTCTCAAATTCAATTCTGGGTATTCTAAATGCCCAGAATTTCTAACAGTCAACCAGGTTTTGTGCTTACAGAGCACATGCTAAAAATACACTTGGTCCTCATGTCCTCTCATGCTACAGAACCCTCTTCTACTTGTGTAAAAAAAAAAAAAAAAAATATGTTTTTCCCGCAGGTGGAATATTACAGCCACTAAATTCCCAATTACATCTTCAGTACTGGAAGGGAAAATTTAACCTTCATCCTACCCCTATAGATACATTGTGCTGCATTCATGTTTTTAGGGAAATATTTTCAGAAATTTCCAGTTCATTTGTAAATGTACTATTGTGTTTGCAGAAGAAAATTCATTTGGACATGCCAGCGAGCTATGCAAACATGCATTCTTCAAGTTATATGTGGAAATATTTGTTCTACACACAAATTGGGACGAACAGAAGTGAAGCTGCTCCAGACACCAAGCAGGGAGGAGGAAATGAGCTGGTGGGAGGTGGTGTTCCTTTCTTCTTTCCAGTCGCAGCAGCGATGCGCAGGAGCAGCGCGCAGCACCCAGCGGGCTCAGCTCTCCTGCACACACTGCCCTGCTGCACGAGCCTCCTGGTTCTGAGCAACTTCTTCAGCCGAAGGACAGGTGAGAAGCGAAACTGCAAAGAAATGATGGCAGGGTGACCTGAAGGAGAAACACAATCGTGCAGTGAAGCCAGCAGCAAACCCAAACCACTTCCTACAAGCACCACAGAGTAAAGCAGGGCACACCTGGCCAGGGCCACGCCATGCTGTGCACGTTCCCTTTTCCTTAAAAGCCTTTCCTTAAGGAGAGGATCTTACCTCATGCCTCTTTTCCTGTCTGTTTTGTGGTCTTGATCTCTAACGCATCTCCTTGAGTTTCTTGACCCCTCCATGTTCATTTCTCAGGTAACCAGCCCCGAGGAGGGAACACCTCCCGCTCCCAAATTACCAGGCATGGCGGTGGGAGGCAGGGGGATGCACGATGCTGAGGAGGGGGCTCTCTCAGCACAGCCACTGTCCTGCTGCTGTGCACTGCCCAGCTCCTCCTAGCTCTGTGTCCCCGAGCAGCTCACTGCACACGCGATCAGAGGTCCCAGAGAGACGGTCGGGTCACGGGCGAGCAAGAAAACGAAACTCACGAACACGAGACCGTGCTGTTGAAAAAGAAAAGTAATCCAAACACGGCTTCACCTTCTGTAGCTAAGGGGACTCTGGGCCTTTACAGTGTTTCTGAACAAGAGAACAAAGACAATACTTTCAAGTGGTTTTAGTTTGGGGAGAATTGTTTCATCTGAGACCTGAGGGACGGAGAGACGTTGTCAGACCACAGGCTGTAATTAAGCTTGCCATGCTCAGCTCATGAGCTTTCAAGCCTTTTGCTAGAAGAAAGAGAAGGGGAGCAGGAGAGCAGCTGTCAAGAGCAATCTGCGAGCGTCCGTGGTTGTGATGGACGTACTGCAGGAAGGATGCTCGGCGTGGTGGGTGACTGCAAGTACGGCCATCCTGAGCACGAATCTCAGGCTGCAGCAGGGAGGGAGCCTTTACACCTGCCTGCAGCTGAAGATGGGACGGGTGAAATGCTGAGCCTGCAGGACAGGGCAAGCACCGCTGATCCCCGCAGCCAGGGGTTGGTGTCGGGCAGTGGCTGGCTCGCAGAGCTGCTCTAAGCGGTGCTGTCAGTGCTGCGCAGTAAGGATCTGTGTTCGCTCACTGCTCCTGACAGCTCGGCTGAATTGCCTCGTTGAAACACAAAAGGATGAGCCTAAGCTGTGTGTTCAAACCGCCTGCTTCTGTGCAAACTCGTAGTTTTACCTTCCGCACATGAGGCACGTCTCCCCGCTGAAGGCAAGCACACCT